TTTAAAAGAATGCCAATAATGTGAGTTGAGTGAATTTGTAATGGAATATTGTTTAAATCCCAATGTTATTGGCTGCAAAAAAAAAAAAAAAAAAACCCTCCCCACTTTGAGTGGAAGGAGGAATTCTAAATTGCTCTGTAATCAAATTGGATTAAGAGCAAAAAGTACATTTGATCCACTTAGCAATTGAAAGCTATTTGTGAGGTAATACAAAGATTCAGGACTCCCTTCCACTTACCACACTCAAATTAAAGCCATCAGCACTTACTTGTCAATAATAGCCTATTGTTTGATGAATGGAAGTGTTGTAAACAAAAGAGAAGTGGGCATGGAATTCTAATATATATATATTTGTTTTTTTAACTTTTTGACCCTACCGCACATTTTAAATTTAAATGCCAGGAATACAGTATTATAAATTCATATTGATCGAGTTTTCAGAAACAGGTTTATTGTGAATTTTACCCACTGAAACCACAACTCTTTTGAGGTGGCCATTTTGTACCATTTAACAAACAGAATAGTTGATGTCTTAAAACATCTTTGCACCAGTACACACCATAATTTATCTTAAAGTAACTTTTACTCTAAAAAGACCCGAGATAAATCGTCAAGAACAAAATCCATATGTTGCATTTTAAAAATGTTATAATGCTTGGGTGGGGAGCATTTGCAGACTTTCTACCGGGGAGCTTATAACATCTCAGATATTAGATGATGATTACTTGTCCTGCAGGTGAACTTATTTTAGAATAATTATTGGCAGAGATTGTATCATTTTATATTTTAGTTTTCCCCTAGAACTTTAGAATGCATGTGTTTTTTGTTTTATTCTGATTTCCTGCTCAATTTCTATAAAGACGCACAAAAAACGCCCCCCCAAAAAACGCTAACCATTCTCTACAGCTTCACTTGACAAGGAAATAGCAGAATGGGTGCATGTGCAGGCTTTGCAAATTCACAAGCTTAAAGGGATACTATATGCACCAAAACAATGTTAGTTTAATTAAATAATTTTAGTGTATAGGTCATGCCCCTGCAGTCTTACTGCTCAATTATCTGCCAATTAGGAGTTACATCACATTGTTTATGAAGCCCTTATCACACCTCCCTGCATGTGACATGCATAGCCTTCCTAAATACTTCCTGTAAAGAGAGATTTAATGTTTAAACTTCCTTTCTTGAAAATTCTGTTTAATTTAGACTTTCTTATCTTTTTCTGTTAATAGCAATCTAGACCCTGCAATGACCTTCCAAGTGTGATTAAAAGCTCAATTTACAGAGCAGGAGAGAAAAAAAACTTCTAAAACAAGTTAACATCTGATGGAAAATTAGAAAAATGTGTTTCATGCAGGCTGTCTCAGTCACAGCCAGGGGAGGTGTGGTAAGGGCTGCATAAACAGAAACAAAAGTGATTTAACTCCTAAATGGCAGAGAATCGAGCAGTGAGACTTCAGAGGCATGATGTATGCACCAAAACTACTTCATTAAGCTAAAGTTGTTTTGATGCTTATAGTGTCCCTAGGCCAAAATTACATTCCTGTGACCTGTTTGTGTACAATCAGGCAGATCTCCTTTAATACTAACTGGCTTCACAATAATTTTTGTTGTCTCCAATATGTAGTGCAATACAGTTTACATTAATCTTTTCAAAAGGCAGATTGCATTCCCTTTAAAGCGGGTTTATTTCCTGAAGCCAAAGAACTTACAATCAAATCTGAGTACTCGTTGGTTTCCATCTTCCTGCATGTCTATATTTCCAGTGGCGATCTCCTAGACTGTCAATTTGGGAAATGGAGTGGACATAGATGATCTAATGACTGCCCAGTACGTGAACGCTTATTTTAAATGGTTCTCAACCAAATTAAAAAAGACAAACTATATCTACCCAACTGTTGTTGAACAACATCTCCTTTAATTGTTTGCAAACGTACGTCTGGAGTTCTAATTTTTGGCTAGCAATGGTCATAATCTCCGGGTTCCCCATGTTATTTTGTTCACACAATAGGCAACTGCCCGCCATACTTTGTGACTGCGTCTTTTCCTCAACACTTGAGACACAAGAAACAGTCTAATGAAGGGATTTTCACGTACATAATTAAAGTGATGTAAACATTGTTGGGAACCATTGATCTAAAGTAACACAGACCTCTGATGTATTGGGAGTTTTTAATTCCCAACTGTGAGGGTTTGAAGCTTCTTAGAACGCAATTGGGTAGACTAAAACGCCTGCTGGGTCATTACAGTAAGTGACTTGCAGTGTGTTCAGGCTAATGGGCTCATTTGTAATAAATATGGCGCCTTTGCGTCCTCTTTGCAGAATTTGTGTTCGCTCTTCCAACTGGTAAAGAGCATAATTTTGTTATTAATTATTTAATAGAAACTGTAATGATGATCTGAGAAATACTGTGAAAGTGTTCTTGTGACATCAGTGGGAGTTTTTTTTTTGGCCTACACAGAGGTAGACGTGCTGAGGGTTCGAGATGCAATTAAAATCCTTGGCATATTGTTAATTGTAGCGGCAGCTGTACGAATAACAATAGATGGTGGTGTTTTTTGAGGTTATAAAGGGAGATGACTTTATGGTGTTATATGACATCATAGAGATATGTGAATATATTGTGTGATATTTGAGGTCATATGGTGGCTGATTAGAATGATCTATGAGGTTGGAACGTGGAGTGGCTGTCTCGTGTTTTTTTTTTGTAAAAGAGAGATGGACACATATTGGGTGGTTATGTACAGTTACGTAGCACCGTTGGAATGAGGACAACTCATGTTTTGGCTATATAGGTGCAGGCATATCTGTCACTGAATATAAGACTAGATTACACCAATCTCTGGTCTTAAAGGGACACTATAGGCATCAAAACAACTTAAGTTTAATGAAGCAGTTTTAGGGTATACTCTGCGCGGGCCTTTGCTGCTACACATGGCGGCGGCACATGGTCGCAGGGCTGCGACACCTGCGACCGCGGTGTACCACCAGTGCATGCAGATACACTTAAAGGACCACTATAGGCACTCAGATCACTTTAGCTCAATGAAGTGGTCTGGGTGCCAGATCCCTCTAGTTTTAACCCTGCAGCTGAAAACATAGCAGTTTCAGAGAAACTGCTATGTTTCACTGAGGGTTAATCCAGCCTCTAGTAGCTGTCTCACTGACAGCCGCTAGAGGCGCTTCCGCGATTCCGCTGGACGTCCATAGGAAAGCATTGAGTAATGCTTTCCTATGGGCGGTTTGAGCTGTGAGGTGGATCGGGGCGGAGAGATCCCCAGTGCCAAGGGAGCCCGGCGCTGGAAAAAGGTAAGTGCTGAAGGGGTTTTAACTACACACACACACACTCTCACGAACAGACACATACACACTAGCTAACAGACACACACATTTACTGACAGACACACACTTAGTGACAGACACACATAAACACTCACTTACAAAACATACACTCTCACTGACAAACACACACTCACTAACAGACACACACACTAACAGACACACACTAAAACACTCAGTAACAGACACACACAGTAACACACACAGTCACTGACACACACATACACACTGACACTCACTAGCAGACACACACTCAATAACAGACACACAAACACACTCAGTGACACACACACAGTAACACTCACTAACACACTTACTGACGCTTACTAGCAGACACACACAAACTAACACACACAGTAACACACTCACTGACACACACAAACTAACACACTCATTAACAGACACACACACTAACACACATATATACTCTCATATTTTTATTTTATTTTATTTAATCCCCCAGCCTCCCTACCTTTGGGAGTGCTGTGGGATTCCTGCTGTCCCTGGGATCCAGTGGGGTCCTGCTGTCCCTGGGGTCCAGTGGGGTCCTGCTGTCCCTGAGTTCCAGCTGTCCCTGGGGTCCAGTGGGGCTGCTGGGCGGCTGGCTGGGTGGGACATCATATTCCAGCTCCGGCATCAGTGCGGTGCATGAGGGAGCTGGGCAGAGAGCACTCAGGGGAGAGTGCTCCCTCGCGTGTGCGCCTGCCCCGCCGCCGGCAAAGTGAAGCCACTGCCAGCCTCGGGGGGCCCTGAGGTGGCCAGCTCCTGTGCCCCCCAGGAGAAGAGGCTGGCAAAATGTGGCCACACTGGCGTGCATACTGGGTCGCAGGGTGGCCTGGCCCCCTGGAGGCCCATGCTTTGGAAGTTTTTATCTACTGCTCTGCAAATTGAACTTTAATCACACACAGGAGGCAGTTGCAGTATCTAGAAGGCTATTAACAGAGCAGGAGAAAATAAATTCTAAGTTAAATGGAATGTGCAATAAAGGAAGTTTAAACATTAGATCTCTTTTTGCAGGAAGTGTTTAAGAAGGCTGTGCTTTAACTTCTAATGGCACAAAATTGAGTAGTGAGACTGCAGGGGCATGTTCTACACCAGGGGTAGGCAATCTTCAGCACTCCAGATGTTTTGGACTATACCTTCCACGATGCTTTACGAGCATTGTGGGATATGTAGTCCACAACATCTGGAATGCCGAAGGTTGCCTACCCCGATCTATACCATAAAATGTTTCATGAAGCTAAAGTTGTTTTGGCGCCTATAGTGTCCATTTAAAGCTAGAGGTAACAGGTCCGGTGTCATGCTTGAATTTGGTTGCCAGTAGCATGACCCTAGCACTTGTGTGTGATTTGACTCCTTTCCAGCATAAATGATCAGGTTTACACCCCTTTTAAAAGCACTCTCTGCTCACTCCAAGCCTGCTTGTGAGTATATTCAACCAGAATCTGATAAAACATGTGACAATGAACTGTAACTAGTGGCTGGCCACCTCCACACAAAATGTATGATTCCGATAGAACTGCACGGAGTAAATCCAAGACATGCCATGGACTTTATTGTCCCCAGAACAAAAACCTAGCATTTTGTGATCACATAACTCTCACAGCATACTTTAAAAAAGAAAAACATATATATATCAAATACCTGGTTATTTAATTACTGGTGGATCATCTCATATAAATCTACATTGTGCCAAAGAACAAAGAAGTGCATTGCTTAGCAGAACATCTCTCAACCATCACACAAGTAAATGGTTAATAAGGAAATAATTATTTTCCATGTACAAGCTTGGCTGCCTAGAAGAAGTTTGGAACAAATTTGTCATGCCAGTTTATTTTTTAATATAAGCCGAATGTTCAGTTTTCTGCACTCTGAATTCCGCATGAGTTCATCCTAAAGTGTGAAAATCCACTGGGATTATTAAATCTACAATTTAAGTCACGTAATCTTAATGCCAAACTGCTCAATCCAAGTCCTTAGTAAATCCATCAAAACAAAATGCGGATGCGATAGGACCAGGGTCCTACTCCTACCAGTTGCATCTGTTATCCGAAATATTCAAAAATGAAAGCTGAACAGCTGTCGTTGATGGTTGAAGAGCCTGGAAGATGACCTCTGTTTTCGTTTCTTCCTGATGATTGGCACCCAAACCAACCCAACAATCAGAACCATTAGTCCAATGGAGAATGCCACAGGTCCAAGGTTCTTAGACACAGGAGCATTGGAACTCATAAAATACATAGTGGTCAATATTATTCCCAACAGGAACACAGATCCCCCAATAGACATGATGACAATGGGCTTCTGGTAGGTGTCCCAGGCACTTCGGTGGGCTGTGTTCCAAAGGGACTCACTTCTTGAGCTACTATACAGAGTGCTTTCTGTTCGACTTGTAACCAGGTCTTTGGAATGTGAAGTAGAACTTTCCTCGCTGCTTTGCTCACTGACGGCAATGGGCTCCATTGAAGTCGCCATCATTTTATTTTTGGGGTCCAAGTCTAGTGCCTTGAGCAAAGAAAAAGAAAGACAATCCTTATGTGAATGCATTCAAAACACAAAGGTTACTTTAAAGTGAATCTTTAGGACAAATACAGGTTTGTGGGGGAGAGTGTCTAACGTTAAAACACATAGATAGTTTTCTTCAACATACAATGATCAGAAATGTTTAATGATATAATTTTACCTAAATGACACTTCGATCAAATAAAAGCACATCACATAATTCTATGTTAGGCAATATTCACACATTGATATGACTATAGTGTGTTTTGTTAGAACTGTGGATAGGGGTCAGGGAGGTTTCGAGAAGGCTTTCCACAGTTTTATGTCAAACTGGGGAATATCATCCAAGGACTATAGGCACCAACTAAAGCACAGTGAGTCCCTTTGGTTAACACTGTCTCTTTAACTTCATAAGAACACATGATGGAAATGTTCTATCATGCTGGCCTATTACTTCTCAAGCTGTGTCCTTAAGGGTTTAAACTTTGCCCTACAAGCATACCTTTGTAGTTTCTGCAGTCATTTTGAAAAGGTGCTTGTGTGTAGAGCACCCTCAAAACCCTCCTCAAGGCTCCCATGGTTCGCATCTTAAGTTTCCAATAAAATGGCACCAAGCGATGTCTTTTTGGTAGTGGTGGGCAAAGTAGCAATATGTATACTCAGTAGTCCGTAAAGCCCAAGTTGACAGATCATACTTAAATTATTTCTGTCCAAAGACAAAGTGCTGATGGCTGCTTTAAGCTGGTACTTTTAAAAACTAATTGAACACATTCCATATAGACCATCCATGACAAGGATTTAGGTAAATCCCGTTATATAATGGCCCTCCTGGCAATGCTTCTCAGACCCGAAAGGGTTAAAACCAAATAACATAATTTGAGAACAAAGAGTAATATTTTTCTCTCTTCCAGGAATTCGAGCACTTACAGTTGTTGGCGCTAATCACCATCTCTCCCCTGTGGTGAGAAACAGCACAACATGTGGCTAATGGTCTGTTCAGAAAGCTAAATTATTCAAAAGATATAAAGAGGTAACATTACGATGTTTATACTGCCTGTTTTCCTCCGAAAAGGTGCACGCTGACTGTAAGACTATTTAAGAGTTAAAGCAGGATAGCTGCTAAATATCAACGCGCAGTCCTCAAGCCGTATGTGTAGACAATAACCAAAGGCCAGCCTTAGGGCTGTGCTACCTGAGCACACAGAGAGGGGGCGCAATCACACCAACCAGAAACATTGTGCAGCTCTCAATTTCTTGCCACCAATGGTCTATTGGTGTGATCTCCTGTGTTGTTGTTTTGTTTTGTTGTGCATGTTTTTTTTTTTTTGTCAATCTGGATTTACACACCTACATTATCAATTTCACAGTCTAGGTTGGATGCAATCAATACTGATAATGCAGGAGTGTAATTTTGACTTGAGAGGAGGTGGACTGTGATGCTCTCCCCCCCCCCCATTTTTTTTGGGGGTCAAACCGCTCTTAAAATATTTATAACAAAAATCCAGGGGCAGTGCCCAGACTATCCCCAACATGATTGCTTTCCTGAACTCACTGTACCTTTCTATGTATGTCACTTGTAAGCTGCACTTCTCTGTGGGGTGTTATAATGCAATTATATGTAGTTCAGTCTACCGAATCATGCCTAGGGCCTCCGTAATTAATTATATTATTCTCGTTTTCTCATGTGTAATTAAACATAAAATATTTGTAATAAACCAGCCACTTGACGTTAGTAAATGCGTAGTACTAATACGTATTGCTCGGATCGCTCTAGGAATAATTCCAGATTGTCTTAAAGGAAGACTCCAAAGCCCCCAAAGAAATTAATCATTAAGTATTACTGTTTAGTAGATATTCCCCATAATGAAAGCTTACAAGTATTTAATTATGGATTTTATTTTCTCATTGGGAGTAAATCAAGAAACAGATCTTTTGTCTGCACGACCAGTTGTCTGCTTGACAGCCACGGGGGGTGTAACAAGGTACATTTTTTAAAAGTACCACTTTCTATTGACATCAGCACTTTTTGTTAAATGGAAAAATAGGGCACACTCTTCACGCATAAGCCACTTCAACAAGCTAAAGTGCTTTATCTTTTTTTTGTGTGAGGCTCTGTCTACAATCTCTGTATCACAATACTATGCCTTACAGGCAATAAATATGTTTGAGTGGGGGGAAAAAGGCTGTGTGCCGGGGGCCAGCACACATGCCAGGGATTTGACATCTCACCACAATTCCCTGTTTAATGAAAATATTACATTGTGATACATAGTATTCCAGACCCAGCGAGCACTATACGAGTTAAATCCTAGTATCTGATCCTTGGCATAATGCATACCTGCAGGGTTCTACGAAGGTACTCATGCCGATTCACTGACGATAAAATGTTTCCCAAGCCAGATAGCCTCTCACTTCCTTACCAACACTGCTCTTAAAAGCTTTTCAGATGCAAGCAGCGCACTCTGAGGAATATTTACTTCTGCACACCGGATAGCATCTAATTGGGATAAATTTATAGCCACTCCCAGCTTTCTGATGGATTTCTGTTGTAAATCAATTTTTTTTACGCAGGGTTTTTGTTATGTCGATGGTTAAGAGGAGAATCCCAAGATCTAAGTAAAAACAGATGAGCACGAAAAATATCAGAAGTTGAGGATTTTGTTTTCTTCTAGTTTTGCTTTTTTTGGCAAAAAAAAAATGAATCTAATTTCCTTGTAGTCTCTCCGAAATTCCAGATTTAGTTAAAAAAGCGCATTGAAATATGTTAGGATGCAAAGTGCTATTCGTCTTGTCTATCTCACTATTGTATGGATTTGTGGTTTAGATGATCTTAGGCTCCCCAACAGTCCCGACTTCAGCAGGACAGTCCTTATTTGGTTCCCTGTAGTTTCCTCTTCTGGGGAAAACCAAGAGACTGTCCTTGAGAATCCGAGGTGCAAGCTCTGTGCACGGACACTAGGGCCCGGCAGACAGTGCCTCAACAGCCCTCTCTGCAAGATCCTGTAGTGGTGGGCCAAAAAAACCCTTAAGTGTCACCACCCATTTTCTGAGTGGGCATACCCATTATATGCATTGCCAGTGACCCAGGTAGTGTCAGTGGTGATGCCATCATGATTTCATAACTTCCAATGTTGCCTACATGTCATATGAACATATTCTTGGGGTTTGGGGGCTTTGTGATAAAGGTTAATTACCGGAAGATTTAAAGTTATCGTATGGATTAGGGTTGCATGTGTTGTACAAGTTAGGCTAATGAATAGGGCAACATTTAAATTTAGGGTCAAAGAGTACAGTACTTAGGGTTGGATTCCTGGCTAGAGAAACTAGGGGTAGAAGTTAGGGTTAGAGGAGTTGGATTCATAAATTCATCTAGTAGTTTAGATTAAAGTTTAGGGTAGCACACGTGGTTACAGTTTATTATTAGAAACATTAAGCTTAAGGTTAAACACATTACAGCAACCTGTACGGGTTAGGAAATGTATATATATGTTAGGGTGAGAACTAAGATATTAATCATCGCCATCCCAAAAAAGCAATGACCTAGTCAATACTGGAGCAAGGGGCAAACAGATGTCCAGTAAGCATTCCATTTCACATTGGTGACGTCTCAGGGGAATGAATAGGTCATGGGGTGAATTACCTAAATCAGAGTGACTCAGTTGCAATTTCTGTGACTTCCATTCTTACGCCACCGGTACGGGTGTTGTATGCAAATAATAGATTATTTCTTAGTTGAAAACAAGTTTCTTACTTTGAATGAACATACCAATTCATTACTCATCCAAATCGACTTCACATTGCACACTCCACTCCCCTGTAGACAATGGCAAAGAATTATTTGAATAGATAAATACTTCTTCGTGTCTGTGTACAATTCATTTGCTTCCTAGATTCTTTGTTGGGATGGGACATGGAGGGTATCAATCAACCATAGCTTTTCTGCACCAGATAATTACTAAAGCAAATACCTCTTGATTGATTTTTTTTTATTGACTAGACATTTGACACATGCTAAGTGCATTGGTTAAAGTCACACCTTTCAACTATTTTATAATAATGTCTTACTGTTTACTTAAATGAAATTCGGTTTATTTAAATTAAAAGGGTTCAAAAAATTAAAATATACCATTTTAACTTCCATTGTGCCAGAGAGTATACCCTTTACAACAGACATGGGCAGCAGTTAAATTATCCTCATTGGTGAGTTTTCTAGTACTCACCGTGATTTGAATTCCAGCCATATTCTGATTAGCTGAAGTCAACAAGCGTTCAAGGAAAATTCAGAGTACCATAACCACAACAGCCAAACTGCAATGATGGAGTCAATGCACCAAAATCATTAAGATGAAGTGTTTTGTTTTTTTCGAGTGTTCCTTTAATGATAAACCGCATCTTCATCTAACTTGCTTAAGCTGGGATTTTTAAAAAATTATTTTCATTTAAAAAAAAAAAAAAATTTTGAATATAATAATCCAAATACATTTTCAGTGTTTTTTTGTTTGTTTTTTAGACAAAAATATACTCAGAAAACAGCTGTTGGAGGGAGGTCCATGGGCCCCATTGAAGTTAAAATTAGAGTGGTGCAAATCCTAGTTAAACAAACAGGGCTGCAGTGCACACAGCTGTCTGCAGAACTCAATTCATCTCACATTTGCTACAGAGTTAAAGAGGTTCTGTCACTGTCTGGGGTCTTTGTATATTTTGCAAAGATCCCCAACAGTGACAGCTCTGCTGGGTGTCCGGTGACTTTGTGGTGCAGGGGAAGGTGACTTTTACTTTTCTGTACCTGCCCCTCGCAACCGCCCCATCGTCTTCCTGACAGCTCTCTTCACCTCCTGACGCTTCATCTCCCAGGAGCTGATGTCAGTGCATTACTCTCACACATGTGCGAGGGTACAACACTGAGGTCTATGGAGGGTCCCGTCACAGACAATACCTTTTGTCAAGTTTTGTCAACCTTCAGAAATATACAAAGATAGTGTAGTCCCTACTTTGTCTTTGTATATCTTTTGACCATGTTGGAACTTTAGTGCAATTTCAACACAGTCAATGTGAGTATGTTATAAAGATTTTATCCTTATGAAATACTCCTTTTGGCTGGGGGGGAGGAGGGTGATAGATTCGCCTTAATGCTATCACGTCCGGTATGCCGCTGTCTGAAATGGCAGCAGAGGGAACAAGATTTTCTCATCCAACAGTTTTTCCTGTTTTTTTTCCCCGTTATGTCTTTATTGAATATAAGGTACAGAGATAGAAGCAAATGAAAATCATAAAAGAAGAAAAAGCTGCTAATTTATTGCAGTATTAAATAAAAAGAGGACACTTGTTAATGATCAGCCATAAAAACATTTTGAAGCGTGCTGGGTCTGTGTGTGTACAGTATATGTATAATATATACAGGGCTAAAACATCTCAAGTCCTGCCCTACTGGGAAGGCATTACAACTTACTCTCCACTGCAAACCTTAAATGTCCATGGAATTCTCCATGGAATTAAGACAAACTTAAAGGACCACTATAGGCACCCAGACCACTCCAGCTCAATGAAGTGGTCTGGGTGCCATGTCCATCTAGGGTTAACCCTGCAGCTGTAAACATAGCAGTTTCAGAGAAACTGCTATGTTTACATTAGGGTTAATCCAGCCTCTAGTGGCTGTCTCCTATGGACTAATTTAATGTGCGTGTGGTTCTTGCCGCGCATGCGCATTCAGCGCTGACGTCGGAAGAGGGGGGAGATTTCCCCACCGCCGAAGGAGCCTGGCGCAGGAGAAAGTTAAGTGCTTAACCCCTTCCTCCCCTAAAGACCCTATAGTGCCAGGAAAACTAGTTTGTTTTCCTGGCACTATAGTGGTCCTTTGATGTAGTGCTTCTGGTGTCTATAGCCTGCCCCTGCAGGCTGAGAACTGTAAACACTGCCTTTTCTTAGAAAAGGCAGTGTTTACATTGCTGCCTAGCAACACTACAAGTGGCAGTCACTCAGATAGCCAATAGAGGGGTTTCCTTGTCCAGGGCTACACGAAAGGAGCCTCTGTAGGAAAGGATGAATTTCTACTTGCCAATGGCTAGTTGAGATTGGACATTTTGAGTCCTGATATATAATAAATTTTTAGTATTTATTTTATTTGCCTGTATCTAATTAAAGAGAGGGACACTATAGCATTAGGGATACAGGTTTGTTTTCTTAACTCTATAGTGTTCCTTTAACCTCTAAATATACTCTTACAGACCTGGGTCCAGAACCTAGCACCAGAACTTATCACACCTCTTAACCCAAACCTATATGATGTGGCCATATAATCATAGTCCAATCTAGTATTGTCTTTAAGTTGCAGAATTCTATCCAGATTGCCTGAGGTCACTTTGTGACATCATCATATTGTAGAAATATGTGCTGACATCATAGAATGCTGATTTCATAGAGGGTTTTGCTCTTTGTTATCATTGAAGTAAAAAGACTATTAGGGAGTACAGCTGTGAGAGCTTGCATTCGACCCCAGAGCATTGGAGATCGCTGCTGATTGGTAGGGAAATTAGCCTTTCGCAATTAGAGCACTTCCAGGTTTATATAATAGATTTATGGTTTCCGTGTTAAATTGGTTTATTAGCTTTCACCATCTGTATGTAAGAACTCTGAGAGAGGTACGCATTAGCACAGCCTGCCATTAGGCTTAGCAAAGATGTCACATTGTTTTTCGAACTGAGAGGGTTAATGACATTTGTTTCATCTTTAAAGGACCACTCTAGGCACCCAGACCACTTCAGCTTAATGAAGTGGTCTGGGTGCCAGGTCCTTCTAGGGTTAACCCATTTTTTCATAATTATAGCAGTTCCAGAGAAACTGCTATAATTATGAATGGGTTAAGCCTTCCCCCTAATCCTCTAGTGGCTGTCTCATTGACAGCCACTAGAGGCGCTTGCGTGCTTCTCACTGTGATTTTTCACAGTGAGAGCACGCCAGCGTCCATAGGAAAGCATTGTAAATGCTTTCCTATGCGACGGGCTGAATGCGCGCGCAGCTCTTGCCGCGCGTGCGCATTCAGCCGGCGGGGCGTAACGGAGGCGGAGAGGAGAGCTCTCCGCCCAGCGCTGGAAAAAGGTAAGTTATTACCCCTTTCCCCCTTCCAGAGCCGGGCGGGAGGGGGTCCCTGAGGGTGGGGGCACCCTCAGGGCACTATAGTGCCAGGAAAACGAATATGTTTTCCTGGCACTATAGTGGTCCTTTAAATGGCCAGATTTACTATTAACATGATGTAAAGTCATCATTTTATTAAAGGCGAATGTTTGATTATCTATCTATTTGATTATTATTTCTACAGCTTAATGCTGTGGTTCTGGTGCCTGTAGCCTGTCCCAGAGAAAAAGGCAGTGTTTACATTGCTGCCTAGCAACACCTCAAGTGGCAGTCACTCAGATAGACACTAGATTTGCTTCCTAGTCCAAAGCTGCACGAAACGAGCCTCTATAGGAATGACTGGTCAGAGGCCTTCATTTCTGCTGGCCCTGCCAAAAACCTCGGGGTTAAACACTTTTTTCCTATTTAACCGTGCTTTGTCCAAAGCCTTGAATGTGCTCACATAGGAACCAAGCTCCTTAACAAAATTATCTCCAAACAGAAGACCTTTCACTTATGGACCAGGTTCTGAATAAGCCAGGTTTACTAGTTTCGGTTCTATCTTTAGCAAGATAGACTATGTCTATCTTGGCGTCTTTCAGTTGCCAAAGCTGTGATGGTTGCCTATTAGGCAGATGGTTCATTGCATCCAGTCCCTGAGGACTGGTATGGGGGTACCACCAGACTCCACCATCTTAAGCATCTTTGTGTTAGGGCCAAATATAACCAGGACCTTGTCCTGACAATTTCACAGGGAGAAATCCAAACCCTGCTTGGCTTTCCATCTCGATTTGCCCACCAACTGAGCAACCTCAGACGGAACTTGCCCACATCTAAAATGGCGACCGCGCGTCAGTCTCAAGGTTATGCCTGAAAACAAAATGGTGCTTGGGAACTTCTCATACTGTAACAATTTATTGCGATGAAGTTGTTATGGTGCCCAAAGTATTCAACATCTAGACAGTTTTCCTTGATTGTGTATTGATTAGTGTTAAGACTTTTAATGTGATCAGTGTGATCTGTAATTATGCAGATGCATTAATGGGCCTTTTGACTACTTATTTACAACATATTTAAATGTGTTTTATCTGCTTGATGCTCTCTAGAGTGGACAGATGTAAGCCTCTCTTTTTGCATTGTAAGTGCATAGCGCTTCTGAAACGGAAGCCACTAATTGCCATTTTGCCTAATGTTAATATAATGAAGACAGGACACATGTATTATTCTGTCACAGCTCAATTACCTGACAATCTTGTCTTTAATTATGGTTTTACTTGAACTGGGTAAAAAGCCCTGGACTCATAGAACCCATACAGGATCATTAGAAACTGGTCTGTGGGCAAGTTAGCATTTAGGAATTATAAAAAAAAAAACAGAGTGAGGAAGACAGAATGATCTATAAGATTAGGCAGAAAGAGGCTAAGCAAGTTATAAGAGCTTCCAAATCACACACAGAAGAGAAAATAGCACAGTTAGTAAAAAAGGGGGATAAAACATTTTTAGATACATAAGTGAGAAAAGGAAAGTAAAACAAGGATTAGTTAGACTAAAAACAAAAAAAAGAAGGTATGTAGAAGAGGATAAAGGTCTAGCTGACTGCGTCAATGAATATTTTTGTTCAGTATTTACAGATGAAAATGAAGGAAAGGAGCCTCAGTTAGGAAAAATGACAAATAAGTCATCTGTGTTACATGTGAGTTTACAGAGGAAGAGGTTCTATTTCAACTGTCAAAGTAAAGACAAATAAGTCAATGGGGCCTGATGGAATACACCCAAAGCTATTAAAAGAGCAGTGGTGTACTAGCAGTGGTGTACTAGCAAAACCATTAACAGATTTATTTAACCAATCATTGTTAACAGGAGTAGTCCCAGAAGATTGGAAGTTAGTGAATATTGTGCCCATTCACAAGAAAGGTAGTAGGGAGGAGTCGGGCAACTATAGGCCAGTAAGCCTTACTTCAGTAATGGGGAAAGTATGGATTGCATGGTTCATGGATTGCAGGATAAAACTTACCAGGAAAGGTTAAAGGATCTTAACATGTATAGCTTGGAGGAAAGACGAGACAGGGGGGATATGATAGAAACATTTAAATACATAAAGGGAATCAACACAGTAAAGGAGGAGACTATATTTAAAAGAAGAAAAACTACCACAACAAGAGGACATAGTCTTAAATTAGAGGGACAAAGGTTTAAAAATAATATCAAGAAGTATTACTTTACTGAGAGGGTAGTGGATGCATGGAATAGCCTTCCAGCTGAAGTGGTAGAGGTTAACACAGTAAAGGAGTTTAAGCATGCGTGGGATAGGCATAAGGCTATCCTAACTATAAGATAAGGCCAGGGACTAATGAAAGTATTTAGAAAATTCGGCAGACTAGATGGGCCGAATGGTTATCTGCCGTCACATTCTATGCTTGTGCATAGTTGGTACATACATTCTTGCTTAGCCACAACAGCTGGTGCAAGTAGTTTCTGTCAGACAAAGGTATACAGTTGTTGGCATCAGTAACACAGCACATTTTTTATCTTATGTTGTTAGGGTGACTATGACAAGTTATGGGCAGTTATATGTCTAGCGTGCAGCACCTGCTTAAGTGATACAGGGTGAGTATGCTCTTAGTGCTTATGGGGCAGGGCGCAACAGTTGCCTCTGTGATCACTGGGTTAAACCTGGGCTGTTGCACTAGGCTCGGGTTAGAGAGGCTTGCATCCCCTTTCACAGACACCTAGGTCGGTAATATCATCTGTTTTTTCCGTGGGATATAAGTGGGAGTTGGGAGGGAGAACAGGTAGAAGTGATGTAATTTATGCATATAGCAATCGAGAGGACATGCAAATATGCCAAAGGTAGTGGGCAACAATCAAACTTAAAACTTAAAACATAAAAGTGTAACGACACTTATAGAGGCTGGAGTTTAGAGCCCGACATTAAGGCCATATGTCAGGGAGTTCATGGCACTGAAGTAGACGCTTTTCCCCCTCATTGGGCTGCTGGTACAAAGAGTCGCACTGTGGTAGGGTTCCAGGCTGTAGTTGTCTTTGGCTTGTTAGAATCAGCTTGACCCGGTGCTTGCCTTTCTAGCGCGAGCTGCTGCAGGATGTCAGGTATTTCGGTAGCTTCGTGTAATTTTAGATTACCAATGTCTCTGGGTATAATCAGGGTTCTGGGTGTGCCCCAGCGATAGGGTATATTATGTGCCATGAGTTCTGTAGTCAGGGGTCGCAGGGATCGTCTCCAGTCCATGGTGGCCTTGGACAGATCAGGGTAGAAGGTCAGGGAGTGTCCTTCAAAGTTGAAAGGAGACTTACTGCGCACGGCCGCCATGAATGCCTGGCGATCTCGGCCTTGTTGAAATCTGATGATAGCATAGTTTCCCTTCTCCAGTGTGCCGGTTTGTGGTCTGGAGATGCGAAACCTGTACCACCTAGAGTCGCCTTTTTGTTAATCCTGCTCTGATGTCTACAATGCCCCTTTTAAAATTTCAATATTTGCGTTAGTTCTCATGGAAGTGAATAAACCCTTAGAGTTGACCTATTTGCCCCAACCAAATTCTCTGATCCTGTGATGGTTGTCAGCTCACAGGGGAACACCTTTTCTGACTGGATTCCATTATTTTGCTCTGCATATGTGCAGACAAAGTGTAAATATTGTCATGAACTGTACTGCAACTTAGATCAAGGGAAAGAAATGAGGGTATCGGAAAATAGCACATGGATTCTATTCAGTCTTCAATGGCAATCTTTAATCTCCTGCATTGTACAGTAACTTGGTGTAAATTTACTTTTTGGTGTCATTTTTGGGAAGCTATTTTACTGATCTGCAACTAGGTTCCTACTAAACTTTCTTGGCACAGATATTTAACCATTTTTATTTATTTATATGTGATAGAGCTCCCTGTACCCCAGCCGGGCACCTCCGCCAAGGGTCTGCTTCGTAGCTGTGGCTGGATAGGGGAACTAGCTCTGTTCACCCCAGGGGCTGGACGGCAAACAGTCCTGGGAGCTACTCAGTCCTTACAAGGGTTTTCCCCACTGCATCCTCTATACCCTGGAACTGCTAACACAGTGATTAACCCTTTCTTCCCCCCAGTAACTGGACAAGACACAGTTCTGGAGGTACAACTCTGACAATCCTTTATTGGTACAGCTTCATTTTACACACAGACCCCCACACAGGGTCTCCACTCTTTCAGTACACTTTCTTTTGTCCCAGGCAGATAACCATCTCCTGCTCTGGGACATACCAACAGGACACAGTGACATACATTAAAACATATTACACATGGGGGGGAAAGCTAAGGGGCTCTGCGCCCTGGGAAGGGAAGGGGCCACACAGGTAAAACACATATCACTGGATATCCCCGGGTCTCAACTAGGGTCCCTGCAAATAGTGGGGCTATCGCAAGTACAGAACCCAAGAAACCATTGTACAAAGTCTGGGCTCGAGGCTCTGTACATCCCCGAAGTTAGTTCCACAGCGTTGCTTGGTTTAGTCCGATGGATTTAAACTTCACGCCTAAACCAAACGACAGCCAATCTGGAAAAAGGGCGTGAACCAAATCACCTATTAGTGCTCAGGGAGGAGAGGGTTTCACCACCCAACCAGGAGAAAGGAAGCGAAACCCGTTTGAATGGACGTTTTTTTTTCTCTTATTGATCGTCTGAGCCCCGCAGCGACGAATCAGCGCTCATTCGTGCCGACCTATCAAGAAAATGGCGCAAACGGCACGGACTTCCAGGCAGCGGGACTCTGCGGCCATGAAGCCGACTAACAGCTCCAGGGTTTCCGCTGGGGATCACGCCTCTCTCTGGTGGCTACCTCCACTTAGGTAGCCCCGGGGAGAGCGCACCCTGGGCAGCTACGAGCCTGGCCTCGTAGCTCCCGAGTAGGGAGAACAGTGATTATAGATCCGTTAGGAGCAGGTAGGGCGATCCGAACTGCCAGTACCCCACCAGTGTCCCCACCGACCTCAGGCACCTATTCATGGAGTCCCGGTGTGAAGACCCTGCAAGGGAAGTGTAGCGGACCGGGGGTAACCCGATTAGTTACCTCTGCTAATTCCCTTCCTTCAGCCGGTCGGGAACCAGTTAGAGAATAAGGAGACCCATTTCCCCCCAGTAACTGGACGACACACAGTCCTGGAGGTACAACACAGTTTTATTGGCCACACACGGCTTTTATGCATAACCCCATGTAAGGGGTCTAGCACGCATCTGAACCCTTTGTCCCTGAAGCCCACCACTAAATCCACAAGGTTCCCCACACCAACCGCCAGGGGTCTTCTTCCCAAGTGCTCTGTGCAGGGGAGTCTAGGCACGGGAAAAAGGAACCGTCCCTTTATCTCCCAGGCACTGAAAAGCCCACCTGCGGGAAAAGAGCTGGTCTCTTTGTCCATCAGGCTCAGGAGAGCCCAACAAACTCACCAGTGCCCCAAAATTGCCCACACCAATCGCAGGGACCCTTGCCTCGGTCCCTCGATCGACTAGTCTTCGTTCGCGAAGTCTTAGTGTAAAAACCAGACAAGGGAAATGTCTCCTGTTGGGGTATGAATGTTCCCCTGGCTGGCATTCGTCTATACAAATGGCAGCCACCCAGAGGAGCACCCATTAATTACTTCCCTTGCGGTTTGACACCTATGTTGCGAGTGCGAACATTCTGATCAATTGGTGTGAACGTTCTAATGGGGCACTGGGGAGGTCCTTGTTCGGGAGATGAACGAGTCAGGAAACAATCCAGGAATGCTCTCCCTGGTGGTCTGTACAAATGATGGCCACCCAGAGAAGCACTCATTAATTGTTTCCCTTGTGGTTTGTGGTTTTGACACTTATGTTTCGAGGTGTGAACATTGTAAGCAAACATTCTAAATTAGTTATTGGGGTGGTCCCCGTTCGGGAGGTGAATGAATTCCATCGGGGAAACCCTCCTGAATGGGGTGTGAGAACAATAAACGAAAATACAGGGGAAACAAATGTAAAGAGAAAGAAAACCCTCGAACAGGCAGCGGTTCCGCCACAGGAAGCGTCTCTTTTCGGGATTACTTGCGGTTTCACTCTTACATTGCAGGTGTGAATGTTCTGATTGATTGGTGTGAACATTCTAATGGGGTACCAGGGTGGTCCTTGTTCGGGAGATGAATGGGTTCCGTTCGTATGAGCGCTCCCGAATGGGGAAATAGGCACAGTACACAAAATACAAGTGGGAACACATAACACAAAGGGAAAAACACACAAATAAGCAGTGGGCATAGTACTTAGTGACGGCGTTCCGTCACACTATATATGTCCCAAATACTTTAAGTAACAAAAAAACATGTTGTTGCTCAATTTTAGATCCTGAAATATTATGAAACAGTATGAGATATTATGAAATATTGCAAGGTAAAGAAACCATATAGACACTATACACTCCTCAATATTTTAGTAAATAACTAAAAAAATCCTTTCACGTTTCAAATAAAAGTTATGTGTCAGGATCCAAAAATCTAAATTCTGACCTTTATTGATTTTTCTTAAATTCGTTTATGCAGTGACTAATATTGGCCTCTAGTGACCTCCCTAACCACTAGCACTGAGATTTCCATCTCTACCTCACCTGCCTGGGTTGATTACTTCAGCTACAAAAGGCCACAACCAGCTCAATATTGGGCATTTGCATAAAAATTTTTGATTTGCCTGAAACACTTCAGATCCTGGCTCCTGTGAACCAACCCCTGGACTTACCTTTGCTACAATCCTGCTTACTACCGAACCTGAACTACTCCTCAATCCTGCTTACTTCGAAACCTGCTCAATACCAGCCTGAACTACTCCTCAATCCTGCTTACTTCCAAACCTGCTCAATACCAGCCTGAACTACTCCTCAATCCTGCTTACTACCAACCCTGCTCAATACCAGCCCGAACTACTCCTCAATCCTGCTTACTACCAACCCTGCTCAATACCAGCCCGAACTACTCCTCAATCCCGCTTACTACCAAACCTGCTCAATACCAGCCTGAACTACTCCTCAATCCTGCTTACTTCCAAACCTGCTCAATACCAGCCTGAACTACTCCTCAATCCTGCTTACTACCAACCCTGCTCAATACCAGCCCAAACTACTCCTCAATCCCGCTTACTACCAAACCTGCTCAATACCAGCCTGAACTACTCCTGAATCCTGCTTAATACCAAACCTGCTCAATACCAGCCTGAACTACTCCTCAATCCTGCTTTCTTCCAAACCTGCTCAATACCAGCCTGAACCACTCCTCAATCTTGCTTACTTCCAACTATGCTCAATACCAGCCTGAACTACTCCTCAATCCTGCTTACTACCAAACCTGCTCAATACCAGCCTGAACTACTCCTCAATCCTGCTTACTACCAAACCTGCTCAATACCAGCCTGAACTACTCCTCAATCTCTGCTTACTAATCCTGCTTAACCAAACCTGCTCAATACCAGCCTGAACTACTCCTCAATCCTGCTTACTACCAAACCTGCTCAATACCAGCCTGAACTACTCCTCAATCCTGCTTACTACCCTGCTCAATACCAGCCTGAACTACTCCTCAATCCTGCTTACTACCAAACCTGCTGAATACCAGCCTGAACTACTCCTCAATCCTGCTTACTACCAAACCTGCTCAATACCAGCCTGAACTACTCCTCAATCCTGCTTACTTCAAACCTGCTCAATACCAGCCTGAACTACTCCTCAATCCTGCTTACTACCAACCCTGCTCAATACCAGCCCGAACTACTCCTCAATCCTGCTTACTACCAACCCTGCTCAATACCAGCCCGAACTACTCCTCAATCCCGCTTACTACCAAACCTGCTCAATACCAGCCTGAACTACTCCTCAATCCTGCTTACTACCAACCTCCTCAATACCAGCCTGAACTACTCCACAATCCTGCTCCTTCCAAACCTGCTCAATACCAGCCTGAACCACTCCTCAATCTTGCTTACTTCCAACTATGCTCAATACCAGCCTGAACTACTCCTCAATCCTGCTTACTACCAACCCTGCTCAATACCAGCCTGAACTACTCCTCAATCCTGCTTACTACCAACCCTGCTCAATACCAGCCTGAACTACTCCTCAATCCTGCTTACTACCAAACCTGCTCAATACCAGCCTGAACTACTCCTCAATCCTGCTTACTACCAACCCTGCTCAATACCAGCCTGAACTACTCCTCAATCCTGCTTACTACCAACCCTCCTCAATACCAGCCTGAACTACTCCTCAATCCTGCTTACTACCAAACCCTGCTCAATACCAGCCTGAACTACTCCTCAATCCTGCTTACTACCAACCCTGCTCAATACCAGCCTGAACTACTCCTCAATCCTGCTTACTACCAACCCTGCTCAATACCAGCCTGAACTACTCCTCAATCCTGCTTACTACCAACCCTCCTCAATACCAGCCTGAACTACTCCTCAATCCCGCTTACTACCAACCCTGCTCAATACCAGCCCGAACTACTCCTCAATCCTGCTTACTACCAACCCTGCTCAATACCAGCCCGAACTACTCCTCAATCCTGCTTACTACCAACCCTGCTCAATACCAGCCTGAACTACTCCTCAATCCTGCTTACTACCAACCCTCTCAATACCAGCCTGAACTACTCCTCAGCCAATACCAGCCTGAACTACTCCTCAATCCTGCTTACTACAACCCTGCTCAATACCAGCCTGAACTACTCCTCAATCCTGCTTACTACCAACCCTGCTGAATACCAGCCTGAACTACTCCTCAATCCTGCTTACTACCAACCCTGCTCAATATCAGCCCGAACTACGCTTTATCTTACCTACCTGATTTCTACCAGCCTGATCCATACAACTTATCTGCTCCATACCTACCTGCATAACACCAATCTGGACTCTGCCTCAAAGTAATATTACATGGTGTTATTTTCCTGCTTGATCAATACTCCTTCTAATATGGGGTTTATTAACTAAAGTTCTCCTTTGTCTTGTAATCTTGAAATCTTATTGTTTATTTGTAACTTGTCTACCAGCAACCTATTATTTCAATAATACGTTTTCCTTCTCTTGCTTTACCCATGTCACTTATAGGTTTCTCTGTCTCTTTATATCCTGTTCTGGGGCATATTGCCTAACTCCTGTTTTCTGTTTACCTTCAATATACTCCCCTATAATGTCTCTCATAGGTTCTTCTTCAATCTCCTACCTCTAATTTCTTTTATAGGTTTACCTGTTACTTTATACCCACTCTGGGGCTTATTGTCTAAACCCTTTATTACATAGCCTGGTTTCTACCTGTAACTTCAGTTATCGGAGATCCTGCTTATTCTATAAAATAAAGATCCTAGTGTTAACCCTGGCAATCGTCTCCTACCTGACCTGATCATGACATTATGCCAACTTTAAATCAAAAAGAATCTTGTTGTGAAGGAGTTAACTCGTCTCTCCGGCTCTGTTTTGAGAGGTTCTCCTCTGAGAGAACTCTGGTGACGGTGCTTTTATAAGCTAAGTCCGTCTGTTTTATTCTCCAGCATAAAGGAATCCAATTACTACATCTGACGACGACAGCTAATGTGTGCAGCCAGACAACGATCTCAGGAGGTCACGACTCTTATTAACCAAAAAACATAAAAAAAGTTTAGTTTTTTTCAAAATCCTGTTTTTTTTTTTGTCTATGAAGTCTGGAATGGAGGGCACTTTTAAACCCGAAAATACTTGCATGCTCAAAAGATTCCAACCCTCTAACATTTGAACCCTTTAAACATTAAAATTTTCCATTTCTAACTAAAGACTTATTGAACCCGTGCATTTCGCAGGAAAACCATGATTCTGACGCATTCATGAGGAGTGCCCTGTGACAGTATTATTTGATTAGTTAATTTGTTTTCTTTCTGTGGCATATGCGTTCTACATACTGCAGGGTAGGACTTTTCATGTCCTGCACATCACCCTGAACCCAAAATATGGCGCAGCTTGTAACCCCAGTGACGTGACATTTTGGAAGATAAAATATGAGGGTCATATTTGTACTGGTTGTGACCCAAGGAAAAAATGATCAGTCTCATCCGGGTCCAGACCACTAATATCAATCGAAATACTTAGCAGCCCACCTATGTTGAACGTATTATCAGTGGTGACGTAGGATGCAGATAGCTCACAGCCCCTGCAGAACCTCTTGGAAATCAGTATGCTTTTGCTTCATGTTAAATAAGCCAAATCCGTTTCACTCCCTTCTATTTTGCAGCAGTTTTTTTCCCAGCGTTGGTGTTAAAAATTGACCAAATTATAAACATTTTAAAAGCAGGATGGGGAGGGGGGGAGGTAATATGTCTTTCCGACCCACCCTATGGGGATAAATCAGTAATGGAAAATTTACAATAAAACGCAGTCTTAATCTGGGTGTGTTTTTTGGAGCTTTTATTTTTATAGACGCCCCATATTAAAGGGTAAATATGGTAATCGTTATCAACACTTTATTATACATATTAACCCTATAGTGACAGTCAGGCTGTCCATATGTTACTACCATCCAGGTAAATTATATCGAATAGCCCTCTGTGGATTAACCTCTTAATTAGCAAAGGAATGAAGAGAATTTAAACTGATTGTGCAAATGCACCACTCCCCATTGTATTAAATAAAGCTTGAACATTTTAAATATGCATTCATTTGCTAAACAATGAATGCATATTTACATTCTACTACATTCTACTACTGTATTCTACAACATATTGAAAACCAGACTGAAACAATTAAAAACTTGTTTTTTTCCCAACATTGACAGATAAGTGGGGATTTCACTAAATTCAAATAAAGGTGCACACATTCATTTAAAAAAAATAAATAAATTTTATAAGCAAATTGCAAGTTAGAAGATCTTCATTTAGTTTTTACTTTTCAAAGCCTGTGCAAATAAGAATATTCAATAATTCATTAACTGATCAATCATCCCAGAGAAACAAGTCTTCAATATTTCGCCTACTACTGTAATTTTGGATTGAAGAATGTCTAGGGTGTGCATCGAGCTGCTCTGTTGAAGGACTAGACACAATAAGCCTGAGAGTTCCTAATCTGACAGACTAGAATGACCAGTTTGGTGCTTACTTGCCATTGCAATCTATATTTCTACATTGACACACCAACCTGTGCAATAGCGCAGAACAATATATTGGAAAACAAACATCCACTATCTATAGTTATTGACACGTAACCACTGTTTTTTTCTTTTGGTAGAGTGGCGATATAATAAGTTGTGTGTGATGTAAATATATATAGTGTGTATAATAATAATAATAATAATAATAATGATAATAATGCATATTTGATATTTTCTTTTTTTTAACGCAGGGCTGGCAATATTTTGGGAATATATTTTGTCAAACCATTAACTTGTACCAGAAATATACAAAGTCTCTGTAATGATGCAAAATGACCTTTTTTAAAAAACAGTTTTTTTTTTGAGAATGCTACTTACATTGCCGTTGAAGCGATTACGAAGATCGGTCAGCGTAAAAAGTTTTCCAATGTCGAGCAATCCGCATTTAACGCCTGACGTATCCCGACTTTTCTGATCGTACATGTGTATTACACAGTCACTGCAACACTGACCATCCTCGCCTGCTGCTGATATTCCCAGCATAATGTACTGCTAATGGGTTAACTCCTTCCTGTCCTCAGACTCCCTCTCCGGGCAGGCAGATGCTGTAGAGCTAATACCATGATCTATGCAAATCTGTTTAGCAGCTGTTACTTTTGAGTGAATTCACTCCTGTTCTATTCTAGAAGTCATAAGTTAGATATAGATCCGCAGACAGATTTATGGTACTCCATACATTTTGGAAGGTTGGTTCAAATGCGTTTTTCTCTGAGATTTTTTAAAGTCTTGAGATGGATCTAGACTTATTTTGTGCCAACCAATGGCTTGGCAGATGGGCAAGAAGAGGATTTAGAAAGTTTGGGGAGGAGTTTTGGATAAAATGAAAATGTTATGTTCATCAATAATCATTTTATTCCCCCCCCTTCCCCCCTCCCCCCCCACTCCTCCTAGAACACCTTAGGACATGGTTTCACCATGTGACGTTTTACTTTGGATGGTTTATTGGGATTTGGGAGTTGGCAGGTTTGTCAACATGACCCCTGAGTTGGTTGGACTGGCGCAGCTCATGGGCGATTCAATGCGCCATGTCTTGCTGTTTACGTAAATTGCGCAGGACGCATATCTCAGGCTAAATTCGACCAGTAGAGATGTGACCACAGAAATGCAAATTGTAGGTTAAGGTAGGTGAATTTATAAAACGCTCACAGAGTGTCACCAGAAGACAGAAGCTTATCAAATGGATGTAGTCTCTGGATTGCGATTTGTCCTTATTTGAATAATCCTGATAAAATAAGATACAGGGGAAAGGGTAACTGGGTGACCTCCTTGTATTGCAATATGCTATTTTTTTTTTATTATTATTTTTAGTTAGTAATTTAAGAAAAATAAGCTATGTTACAGTTCCCGTCTGCTTGACTTTATTGTACCGTTCACAAGCCTACATGTAGCAGCTTCCATCCTTTGATATAAATTATAACATTGACAGTCTACCAGACAGCCACTAGAGGTGTTTCCTGCACTTTACGATGCTAGGCGTCCTCACTCTTTGCATGACGACGTCCGGCGTGTTCATAAATGCCATAATGAAGCATTGAGTCAATGATTTCCTATGGGGAAGGCCTAATGTATGCGCAGCACTCGCCTTGTGCATGTGCATTTAATTCTCAACCCATCACCATGAGACATACGGGCTGGAATTAGGAAAGTGAATAAAGGTTTTGTTTTTTTAACCCTTTACATCGCCTGGTGGGGGAGGGAGGTGCATAGGGTTCTTAAAGTCTTAGGAATACTGCTTTCTATTCCTACCATTATATGTTCCTTTAAATTAGAGGGGCGAAGGTTTAAAAATAATTTCAGGAAGTATTAATTTACGGAGAGGGTAGTGGATGCATGGAATAGCCTTCCAGCTGAAGTGGTAGAGGTTAACACAGTGAGAGAGTTTAAGCATGCGTGGGATAGGCATAAGGCTATCCTAACTATAAGATAAGGCCAGGGACTAATGAAAGTATTTAAAAAATTCGTCAGACTAGATGGGCCGAATGGTTCTTATCTGCCCTCACATTCTATGTTTCTATGTTAAAGGACCACTATAGGCACCCAGACCACTTCAGCTCATTGAAGTGGTCAGGGTGCTAGGTCCATCTAGGGTTAACCCTGCCTGCTGTAAGCATAGCAGTTTCAGAGAAGCTGCTATGTTTACATTAGAGTTAATCCAGCCTCTAGTGGCTGTCTCATTGACAGCCGCTAGAGGCGCTTCCTTGCTTCTCACTGTGATTTTCACAGTGAGAAGACGCCAGCGTCCATAGGAAAGCATTGAGAATGCTTTTCTATGGAATGACTGAATGCGCGCGTGCGGCTCTTGCTGCGCATGCGCATTCAGCCGGTGACGTCAGAAGAGGGAGGAGAGTCCCCAGCGCCGAGGGAGCCCGGCGCTGGAGAAAGGTAAGTGTTTAACCCCTTCCTTCCCCTAGAGCCCGGCGGGAGTGGGACCATTAGGGTGGGGGGGACCCAAAGATCCTATAGAGCGAGTTTGTTTTCCTGGCACTATAGTGGTCCTTTAAACTAAACAGCCCTCTGGGTATGAGAGCCCGGAACCTTACTTCCCCACTTTCTTACCGTGACGTCACCGCCATGGTCGACCGTAAAGAATTATTGAGTACATTTTCTATGGAGGACTTGTAGGCGCATGGCGGTAAGCGACGTGCACGTGCATGTGCCTACTTTTCCCAATGCTCCTCCCAATTGGCCCGTCATTCTGGAAACACGCCTCCAGGATGATGTAAGCCTAGGAAGAGGTTGTGCAGCAGTTTAATTTTCATTTTTTTACATTTTTTAAATTTTTTTATATAGATAGGGGGGAACCTAAATAACAAGGGGCATCAGGGCTGTAGAGTTAGGAATACAAGTATGTATTCCTAACGCTACAGTGTTTCTTTAACATCTAAACTGAAGTGAATAAAACTAAACTACAAAATTTAGGATAAGAGACCCGCTGTGACTTTAGTTGCATTGGGGATTTTTTTTTTAACTTGACTGTCTTTTACAGAAATAAACTACAAATCTTTCGATCACGTCTGGTGTTGCTGAATGTTGTGAACACGTCTCATAAAGAAACATTGCAGTAAATGCATCTCTGTGAAGCATCCGATTGTCTGAGTGCAACGACATTGGTTTACTGGTGAGTAAAAACGGGTGTTTAAACTTTAAAAAAAAAAATTTTTGTATTACAAGTTACTCTTAATCTAAAAATAATTAACAATTACTATTTAAGCAAAAATATTTTCTTTAATGCATGTTTTTCTTGCTGTGCCTCAGAAACCCATTTTGTATACCGATATATGTGTATATGTATGTTTCTTTTATATTCTTTTTAACCCCTTAAGGAAACACATGACACGTGTGACATGTCATGATTCCCTTTTATTCCAGAAGTTTGGTCCTTAAGGGGTTAAAGGACTGCCCCATTTATTTGGAAAGCGCATTCCGTGTCATCAGACTCTCCCCTTGCCTCCAGTCCTTTAAGAAGTCACTCAAAACACACCTCTGTAGGAAAGCTTGCCATCATCCTGGATGAGGATACGTATTGTAACTACAGAGCCATGGTTATAAACAATGTAATATCTGGGTTTTAAATAGCTCATTTTTCACCGTTCCTTCTCTGCTATCAATCACCTGTCTTTAATCGCTGTATTTAATCCCTCATGTCTACAATGTCTCCATCTGTAAAAAGTATATCGTCTTTTTTTGTAATTATTTTTTTATTTTTTTATAATTCTTTATTTATTCCACAGTCAGATAAGGATGAGCATAATAGTAAACAAATATAAGGGAATACAATGATGTGCATATTATTACTGATTTCCAGTTAAGAGTAAGTAGTCAGACTGTGTTTTTTTTGTTTTTTGCAGAGTAATCAACAATTGTGTACAGACAATAGAGAGTTGATAATATTTAAGAGGTTCGGTGGGGCGGAACTTGGGCCGAGGTAAGGTCCTGAACCTGTGTCTGCAGGTCTTTTATCTGGTTGCTATGGGTGACTGTGGTGTGTTCCACTGTTGCTATGTGGGCTTAGAGGTGAGAGGGGGGAAGACTTGTGTGGCCTTTTGTAGCCCTGATCGTCCATGCCTTGGAGGAGTGAATCGCCCGAGTCATAAGAGAAATCGTCGAGTACCTCTGCCATATTGGACACGCTTGCCCTTGCGGCCTTTGCAGTAAGTCTCTGATATCGGCGGTAAACCTGGGGTGATCCGGCCTCGGCTTCTTATTTTTTCTCCCCATCACGCAGTGCACCCTTGTGGGCTTAACGAAGGGTTAAGGTGTCTCTTGATCAGCCAGTATTTGGGCTCTTTCAGCCTGCAGGCACGGAGCTCTGCGATTGTGCGACTGCTCGTGTCGGGACCTAGCTCCGCCCCTCGTAATTCGTTTTTTTTTTTTACATAAATTTTCATAGGAATCGATACTGAGGGGTAAACACATAGAGGTTTGCATTAAAGTCAATATCAAGGCTGTGCTATTACAGTAGTGATTGTACAAGCAAAAATGACTCACTGTAAAGGTCCAAAACATTTGGCATCCAGGATGTGTGTGAGAGGATGTAGGAGTTTAAATGGTAGGCTGGAATAGAGAAAAATTTAGAAAAACTTTTTTCATTATTTCCCATCTATTTCTTTTGGTTCTTAAAAGGTTATAATGTCAGAATTTGGTGGTTATTTACATGGGAGGTATGCAGACAGGGCCGGACTGGCCCACCGGGATACCGGGAAATTTCCTGGTGGTCCGCGGCACCTGGGGGGCTGCATGTAGAGAGGGAGCCCTGCTCCCTATATTTTAATAATATCGCGGCCACCGGCCGTCGGTGCCAACGGGTGGCTGGTCCGGCGGCACACTCTGAGGTGATTACTCACCTTGCGGCCAGCGGCCCCATCTCTTGTGCTGATAGCAATGCTGTCAGTATCAGTGAGTGTGCCGGGCGGCCGCCTAAGCGATCCGGCGGCACACTCACTGATACTGACAGCCGTGCAGCTGTCAGCACAGGAGGACGGAGGGAGGGAGTGGAGCTAACTACCATGCTCCCTCGTGGTTCCCATAATTCCAAGCATCTACACATCATAGAGTAGGGATTACTGCATGATATGTAGATGCTGGGAAATATGGGAACCGCGATGGAGCATGGTAGTTAGCTCCACTCCCTCCCTCAGACCTCCTGTGACAAGGTCAGAAGGGACACAGAAAAAGAGGGGTAAAATAAGCACAGGGGAAGGGGGGGGGACGGACAAATGGAGGGCTAATAGAGATACACAGGGGAAGGGGACACACAGAGACTGAGGGGTAATAGAGAGACACCAGGTTGGGGGGGGACAAAGACACAGGGGATGGGGGACAAATAGAGGGGTAATGGAAAGACACAGGGCAAGGGGACACAGAGACAGATTGGGTAATAGAGACAGGGGATGGGGGACAAAGAGAGGAGTAATAGAGATACACAGGGAAGGGGGACACAGACTGATGAGGTAATAGAAATACACCAGGGAAGGGGACAAAGAGACAGAGGGAAATAGAGAGCATAGGGGATGGGGGACAAAGAGAGGTGTACTAGAGACACGGAGAAGGGGACACACAGAGACAGATGAGGTAATAGAGACACCAGGGAAGGGGGACAAGGAGACAGAGGGTAATAGAGAGACACAGGGGATGGGGGACAAAGAGACAGATAGGGTAATAGAGAGACAAAGGGGATGGGGGGCAAAAAGAGGGGTAATATAGAGACACAGGGGATGGGGACACACAGACAGATGGGGTAATAGAGAGACACCAGGGAAGGGGGGGACAAAGAGACAGAGGGTAATAGAGAGACATAGGGGATGGGGGAAAAAGAGAGGGGTAATAGAGAGACACCAGGGAAGGGGGGACACAGAGACAGAGGGGTAATAGAGACACAGGAAGGGGGACAAAGAGACAGAGGGGTAATAGAGAGACACAGGGGATGGGGGGACAAAGATACAGAGGGGTAATAGAGAGACACAGGGGATGGGGGGACAAAGAGACAGAGGGGTAATAGAGACACAGGGGAAGGGGGACAAGGAGACAAAGGGATAAGAGAGAGACACAGGGAGGAGATGGGAAAGAGAGACACAGGGAGGAGATGGGAAAGAGATACACAGTGAGGAGAGGGGGAAGAGAGACACAGGGAGGAGAGAGGAGAAAGAGACACACAGAAGGTTTGTTGGGGGGACAAAGACATACAGAAGGGAGGGGGAACCAAGTGACACAAGATTTGTGGGAGGCAACGCTGGGCTGGGGAAAAAGAGACAGAGAGTGGCTGGGAGAAGAGAAAGAGGCACACAGAGTCTGGAGTTAGAAAGAGACATACAGATGAGATTTGGAAGGGGAGAAAGAGACAAAGGGGCTGGGGCTAAGACATACACAAAAGGGGCTGGGGAAAAAAAAGACATACAGAGGCTGGAGAAGGGTAAAAAGAAACACACAGGGGCTGGGATGAAGTAAAATATACACAAGGGTCACTGTAAGAGACAAAAAGGAGACAATTGGAGACAAGATACACTAAACGAGGTAAACGTAATAGACGTAAATTGATGTGATCCTGACAGTAATACACACACACACACACACATATATATATATATATACACACATGTATATTGATGTGTGTATTAGTAACATATAATTATGCCTATAATATTTACACATATAGTAAAATACATTTATATATGCATAATACACACATAAATGTCATTAATATATATATATATATGCATGTAATGAGCACGTATTGGCCCAGTCTTGTTGCTAGTTGCATACTCATGCACAATAACATATTCAAAGTGAAGAGCACACCCATAGGACTTCAAAATAAACAAGATTACTTCATTTTTTTCAGTTGTGCAACACCATTACTAAAATGTCCTTAATAGGCCAAAGTAGTTGTACTGAAACATTGATTACATGCAAATGTACGTCTGCTTAAAATAAAGGCACTCTATTGTTTATTTTGAAGCCCTATATGCGTTCTTTCGTTGGAGTAATAGTTTTCAATTTCAAGTTATTTTTTCACCCTCTATATCAGCACACTATGCTGGCGTGACGCATTATTGGGGTGGTATAGAATTTTTTTCCCGGGCTGCTTTTAGTTCCCAGTCCGGCCCTGTATGCAGATGGACTACCCAGACCTTCCAAAACATATCTGGTGTTTCTTAGAAGTGGGATAGCAGAAAACACGACTGTAATGATAGGATAGAGGCCTAAATGTGGGGCTGTCCTGCCGAATCTAAGACTGTTGGTTGGTGTGCAGCTTGGGGATTTAACACCATATATCCAGATAGCTTGACCATGGAGGCTTATTTGGCTAAAGCAATTAGTGGATCTCCATATCAGCAATTGCTCACCAATGAGAAGTAAAAGGTTAACTGAGTAGCCTTTACCTGTATCTGCTCTACCTTCACAGACTGCAAGTATATGGACGACATATCCGGGTGTTTGCGCACTGTGTATGCTGTAATATCGCTAACTTCAGCTCATATGTGACTAGAACCTCCTTCTGGGCAGATATTTTACCAGATTTATTTTCTCTGGGTCTGTTGATGGCTTTGAGGTTGTCTACAACACACTTTTGGCAGCTGACTGTTAAAGGAAAACTGTATTCCTAACCCTTTAGTGTTCCATACCTGGTAATACAGGTCCCCCCAGTGTGCCCCATAAAAATAAGAAAATTAAAGCTTTTTTAACTTACCTTCTTCCAGCGACGAGGGTGCTGCTTACCTCTTCGCCTCCTGCCACATCATGGAGAAGACATGGCCTCCCCCAGCATTGTCCAAATTTCTCTCATAGAGAAACATTGTGGGCCTGATGTGCAGGCGCGGCAAGCTCCCCACGTGCATCCAATCTTCCCATTAAAAAGTTTGAGCGTCCCCAGTGCTGGAGGTGTGTTTAACTCTTCAAGGTAAGCCTTGATAAAGGCTACCAGGAGGAGCCGAAACGTTGGGGGATTGTTTATGATTCGTGTTTCTGCCCAGATAGGCTTGTGGAATTTGGTAACTATGCCTGTTTAGCCTATGTGGTCACTGTTGTATATTGTACATATTGTTTATACTTGTATTGTAATTAATAAATATATATATGGATAGATACTGTTGTATCAGTTGGTGTGCATTCCTTGATTTTTGAATAATTATTGTATTGGTATTTAAGGGAGTACCGTTTTGGAATAGCACCCTTAATTGAGGTGGAAGTTACAGTAAGTGTCTCTCCACACGGTATATTGTGTATAACTCTTCAAGGTAAACATTACTGTTTTAGCAATGTTTTACCTTGGATGGTTAGATTGAGAGGACCACCTCACACAGACCACTTTATTAAGATAAAGTGGCTTGGGTGACTTTAGTGGTCTTTTAACCATTTGAATGACAATACACTACGCACCTCTAGCACTCAAAGGGTTAATGACCATAGTAGGTTTTGTAGATCAAGAGCTCCTTTATCATTGGCAACAGGATAGTTAAATCTGACAGCTGTTTCGAGGTAAAATATTTCACAGAAGCTTGATTGTATAATTGAGTGGTGGGGTTTATTTTCCTGTAAAAATGCTTGCGTTTGGGTGTGTTCACTGTCCTTAACATAGCTTTAAATCCTTCTTTATGGCTTCCATTGTGTGGAATGATTAAACAGATGTTGTAATTTTTATTACACTTCGTCACTACCTCTAAATAATGTGCTCATAGGCCCATGTGTTCTATATAGTGAATCACAGGTTAGATTTAGAGTTTAGTTCCAGGCACGGGGTCTGATTGCTGCCTAATTAAACTGAGCGACAGCTGATTCACCCCTTAAAGGTGTGCTGTGCAATTTTAGGCACCAGTTCTAAAGAAGGATATTATGGCACTAGAAAAAAGCGCAGAGACGAGCTACAAAATTGATAAAAGGAATGGAGCATTTTAGTTATGAAGAAAGGTTAACAAATTTAAATCTCTTTAGTTTGGAAAACTGTCGCCTCACAGGGGATATGACAACATTGTACAAATACATCCCGGGCCAATACAAACCATTGTCTGGAAATCTGTTCAATGGCAATCCAGTTCAGTCAAGGCACAGCCAGGGCACACACATTGCATTGGAAGAATAGAAAAATAAACATTTGTTCCCTGTCTGTCCTCCTCTCTCTGTGATGACTGACTGGTGCGAAGGACAGATGTTATAACAATGATTGACAGGAAGTCAAGATGGAGGCGATTAGTTAC